ATCACTCACAACCCAATCTGGGAAGACATTCGCTCGCTCTTGCACACTCGTTTCTTGCAAAGAGATATCACATTCTTTCTAATAACTAATACACACCATCGTTTATAATGGCTCCCATCATCCGGGCCCTGGCTGCTCTCGCAGCTGCCACCCTCTTTAACCAGGTCACCGCGACCACCACCGAGCTGCCGCCTTGCCTCGACGAGTTCCAACCCTTCACCTACCAGGGATGTTTTCAGGAGAAGGGCACCAAGGGCGAGAATGCCCTCGATTTCCGCTCCAGCCTCAACCAGCAGAACATGACCATCGAGACATGTGTCGATGCCTGCAAAGGTAAGCCGTCCTGACCAGCTTGATATTTGACACGAAAGCCTAACACGATGACAGGTAATGGATACCGCTACGCCGGTCTCACCTACTACGGCGTCTGCTACTGCAGCGCTACCATCAACAGCCCTACCCTCGACGAGTCTGTTTGCAACTACAAGTGCACTGGCAACAGCTCCGAGACCTGCGGTGGTCCCTCGGCTTTCTCGGTCTGGCAAGATCCCACGTTCCCCTCTGGCGGTGCCACCGTCGACGACTACACCTCCATTGGCTGCTACACCGACGACACCAACCATGGCCGCACCATTGCTGAGCGCCAGGACTCTGTTGACTCTGCCACCATGACTCCCTCCACCTGTCTCGCCGCTTGTGCCAGCGAGGGATACGCCTTTGCCGGTGTTGAGTATGGTGGTGAGTGCTACTGCGGTGTCGTGATGGGCAACTACACCACCGCCACTACCATGGACAAGTGCAACAAGCCTTGCAACGGCGACAGCACCAAGAACTGCGGTGGCTCTGCCGTCATGGAGATCTACGTCGCCAGCAAGCTCAAGTCTCTTGAGCCCTGCGGATACGTCCCTCCCGTCAACTCGGTCTCGTCTTCATCCACCATCTCCATCAGCACTTCGGCCACTATCCCATCCATCAGCATTCCTCCCACTACCTCCACCACCTCGACCACCATCTCTACCCAGGCTCCTCCCTCCACTACCTCTACCACCTCTACCACCATCTCTACCCAGGCTCCTCCCTCCACCACCACTGCTCCTGTTACCACTTCTCAGCCTCCCGTGACCACGTCTAAGCCTCCCACTACCATTGCCACCACCACTGCTCCCGCTGTCTGCACTACCACCATTGTCACTCCCGCCACTTGCGAGTACGGCTGCGGTAGCTGGTGCAACAAGAACCTCCCCGACTTTGACGACAACGACAGCTGCACCAAGGCCCACAACAGCTGCAAGCTTCAGGTCAGTGCCTGCCTGAAGAACGCTGGATGGCCCGGCTCTGCCAGCTGCATGGACTTCAAGGCCTGGTGCAGCGATGTCAGCAGCTACTGCTCCAGCTCTTGCAAGGGCAAGGGATCCTGCTCCAAGAAGGACTGCTTCGCCAAGAAGGCTCCCAAGGGTTACAAGCCCGGTACCACTTCCGTGTCTACCTTCCCTTGCCCCTCCAAGCCCACCACGACCTCCACCCCGGTCACCGTCGTCCCTCCTCCTCCTACCGGTGTCTGCAAGCAGCCTTCCAGCTGGTGGTTCGGATACGGCCCTGGCAACCCTGTCGGTGGCATCGAGATCCCCATCGTTACCTGCAATGACATTGCCGTCGACTTCAAGGCTGGTAACCAGTTCAAGCTCTACCTCCAGGCCGACACCAAGCTCTGCAAGTCCTTTGGCCGCGGAAGCGTCGCCAGCGTCTGCCAGGATGCCTGCAAGGAGCAGTACAACGCTTGCCAGAACACCTACGCCCAGGGCTGCAAAACCTGGAACAACCGCCGCGGCCGTCGCGACGATGCTGCCGTCTACGCTCGCGCTCCCGACTTCGCCAAGCGCTGGTTCTTCTCGGACAACTTCAGCGTCGCCATTAACAAGTGCACTGTCCAATACACCGACTGCCTTTCTGAGAACCGCAACTCCTATGCGGCCAGCAAGTGCGGTTCTTTTGGCACTGGCTACTAGAGAGCTTGCTTGGCTCGCTCTCTCGGGGATGATGCTCACGAGTAGATGTGATAGATGGGGAGTTTGATTTTTCCACTTTAAAAAGATATTGGCGGCAACTTTACACTCTTTAGATGGTTGAAACCTTATCGGTATTTAATGGCTAGTCTTCTCAATATAATCGGGCTTCGGCTCATGTTCATACTCATATTTGCTCATGATGCCTTTGGAAATTTGATGGAAACGACAGTGACAGAGACAATGAGCTGCGACACTATGCTACGCCGCACCCCTATGGGAGTCCGTCCCCCAAAGGCTGTATCACCATCCCGACCACGCTCCCCTTCACTACCACAGATACCGACTTATGTCACTTCCGTGAAATTTTTGGGCGTTGAGGAAGACCACATTGGGGTCTTCTAGGCCTCCCCGTTATTCTGACCGAGGTAAGCACGTGGTAAGGTAGGTTGACTAGGAACTAAATCTTGCGCTTAAAATAGAAGCTAGTGAGCTTGTGGCGTGATACTAAAGCCGGGGTAAATTGGACACTGATGAACTTCCGAGGTAAAGTACTTAATCCAGGAGGTCTTGAGTATAATATTTGAAATCCAGCACTCGAGAAAGCAGTAATCAATAAGTGCGGATCGAAAGCCTGGGAACTGGGGAATAAGGGAAACTGTTTCCCGGTATAAGCTTGGGCAATGAGGTGAGGTCAGACACGATCGGCCCACTGGACTGCCTACCCTGGGAAGGAGAGATTGATGAGGGCTCGTGCGGCTTCGCCGATGCATCGCATAACTCGCCAGCATGGCCAAGTGGTAAGGCATCGCACTTGTAATGCGGGGATCCTGTGTTCGATCCACAGTGTTGGCACTGCACGAAAGTCGATCAATATCGTCAATCGTTCTTTTTGATTTTCTTCGATATCGTGTAATTTTCTTCTGTGTTTGGTTTATGGATCTGCAAGGGATGGGGGGATGTCGTTCGATGTATTTAGTTCAAGGATTGTATTCTTGCCTTTGAGTTTGGAGGTGATGGAGGTAGGTAGGATAGTATTGGGGTTGCTGGGAAGTTTGAGTTGGATGTCATGTGAGGGGCAAGAGGTTGATTAGGTGGCAGGCAGGGGACCTTGCTGGGCAGGACCATGGCTGGCTGTAGGATTCGCAACCATAACTGCGGATGAGGGCAAAGACACGCGAGGTTTCTTTCTATGATCCTGTCTCGGTATTGAGAATTTCCTGCTGAGGTTGGTGCTATCGTAGATGATCTGTCTGAGTTGCTTCAGTGATACCTCAAACAACATAAAATGTCTCGTGGGCCGGGGGTTTCTTTTTCTCTCTCATAGTTCGGGGACAGTGGCCTGACGTTTCTCAGGAACATTGGGTGAGGCGCAATTTTGGTTTCAAGTTGAATTCTTGAAAGGATGAAGATCAATCAAGTGCTCGATTTTTCAAGGGAGGATTTGGAGATACCCAGTTGTTACCGTCAGTATAAAGGAATACTGTCATGTTGGACCGGAAGTTTTTACATGTCCTAAACCACGACGGCGGAGTGGTATGCCAGGTTGCGTCTTACGAGCGAGTAACACCACACGACATCACTGCAAGCTTGGGACACATCTACATCTCACAACATCATAGGAACATGTGGTGCACACCGAAGACCCGGGTATGGGCGGCTGCGAGCTTGCGGAATGGTAGCGTTGCTCGAGTCGACGAAAGTCCTAATTGGGATTGAGTTCGCCGTCTTCCCCAGCTTTGTGGAGCTTCGCGCTCAGATGGTATTGGCCGTCATCGGGTAGCCACCGAGGAGGCTTGGCTCGCATCTCGCGGCGGGGTGAATACGGTGTGCGTGTGTGTGCTTCGACACCGAGAGCTGGGTTTCAAGAGCTGGGAGGTCAGGGCAGAGAGGGGCACCGAGCTCCCTCGTTGACCATGTCGAGCCTGCCCCGCACACTGTCATGCTCTCTTGTGATTTTTATGGAGGGGGAACAGGCGATGTCGGTTGAACTGTTGGCAGCAGCGGCAGCGGCGACAAGCGACAACGACAGCGGCAGCGAATACGGATGAGAGAGTTCGGTGCTCGGTTTGGTTTCCGTTTCGGAGCCGGGGGCGCCGGCTGGCACAAGATAAGGGACGATTGGTTGCCTTACGAAGAGGATGTGCCGAGGATCCCGCCCCTCCTTCATGATTGTTCTTTCTCACAATGGTCCTCACTTTCTCGGTTTTCGCGCAAGCAGCATAGACCTGTTGGTTGTGTTATGCTAGAGCGAAGTTTGGACGGGTCGAATGATGCTGGAGACCATTCGGCACCGGAGACCGGGACCTCAGATTGGCCGAAGCCGTCGAGACCGGGAGCTAACAAGGTGAACCAAGGTTTGGGCGGCGTGATGGGCAAAAAGTGAGGTAAGAGGGTACATGGTGAGGTACCTAAAGTGAGGGGGGGGGGAAAGAGGCCGGCGCGTCTAGAACCCTAAACACGGCAGGTTGTTCACACTGAAATTGGCAGGCACGGCACACAAAATTGGAGGTCGGAAGAATTGCTAAGCGAGCCGGGAACGCAGAGCGATGATCTCACACCAAAACTGCCCTTTGCTGGGTGGAAAAGAAAGAAAGACAGTGCCCTTTTCCCCCCTTCTACAGGGCTCAGCGCACTGCTCCCAGCGTGTGCAATGCCCGTGCTGAAGCCATTTCCGGGCTGCCATTGGGTGAAGGGGGCACAGCGTGCCCTTTCTGCCTGACCTAATTTGCTCTGTGCTTTCCCGTCGCTTCCCTCTCTTGCGCTGTGTGTGGTGCTGTGATTTGTCCCGCCCGGAACCCCAGTGGCCCCATCGTGCGCAGTTTCTTCACCTCAGGTCCCATCCGTAACATCACCAGAGCACCGGCACCAATTGGTCCCATACCCCCCCATTGAGCATCACCACCACCGCCAGGTCATGGTGTTCTAACCTTGTCTCTTACCCCAATCATCATCCTAGACTAGGTCGCTATTGTACACCACAATCCAGGCGACAAGATGTCGGTCGCAAGCAAGGTAAGCTGAACCTCTGTCTCTATTCTCGATGTCGTTTTGCGTTTTATTTTGGTTCGAGTTGTTTGTCGACGGAGTTGTTGTGTGTTTGTGCGTCGACCTCGTCGGCCTCGTCATTCCCCTTGTTGGCGGCCTCCTTCTCGATGTTGTTTTGCTCGACTTTTTTTCCTGGCTTCGCTCCTGCCATACATGCCCTTGGGCTCCAAAGACAATGAAAACTAACAAACGTACCTGTATAGAACCTGTTCGAGCTCCTCGGTATGCGTCTCCCGAATGAACGAATCGACAAGTCGTACCTCTGAGCCAATGCCCTAACTTCCCACAACAGGCAACGATGCCGAGGATGACACTCCTCAGGCGCCCGTGAAGACGGTTGAGAAGAACTCTCTGCGCTCAACCAAGCGCGGCGTCGAGCCCGAGGCCCCTTCCCGTGCCCCCGCTGCCGGTGGTGCCCGTCGCAACAACGCCTCTGGCAACGAGGCTGGTGAGTCTGCTCCATCATCAATTTGCAGTCCTCGAGAATGCAGACCCCGCTTTAGACCTTGACCCGCTGACACGACTTCTCCCGCCCATAGCCTTCCGTGACCGCGGTGCTGGTAGCGACCGCAACCGTGGCAAGACCACCGACGAGCCTGCTAGAGGCGGCCCTCGTGGCGGCTACGGTGCCCGTGCCCGTGGAGGTTCGTGATGTCCCACTGTCCCCATGCTTCGACGTCGCATGCGTGGAGAAAGGATGGAACTATTCGCGTACTAACAAATACAATCAGGCCGTGGTGGACGTTTCCCCCGTGAGCGTGATGACCGCCAGTCTAAGGGTCTCGCCAGGTAATTTGAACCGATTCACGCATAACACTCCACGTACTTACTCGTCGCAGCGGCTCCGAGAAGCAGGCTGCCCAGTCTTGGGGCGCCACCGAGGGTGAGGCTGAGCGCAAGGACGAGGTTGCCGGCGAGGCCATTGCCCAGGCTGAGGCTAAGGACGCTGAGGCCGAGGCCGCTGCTCCCCTCGAGCCCGAGGAGCCCGAGGAGAAGCAGGTCTCCTACACCGAGTACCTTGCCCAGCTTGCCGAGAAGAAGCTCGCCATCGAGGGCAACAACAAGGTCCGCGAGGCCAACGAGGGCACCAAGCTCAAGAAGGAGTGGGCTTCCGCCAAGGAGGTCTCCCGCGATGAGGATGAGAACTTCATGATCGGCACCGGTGGCAAGACCAAGCGCGAGCGTGAGCGCAAGACCAAGCAGCTCTTGGATATCGACCAGCGTTACGTCGAGCCCGAGCGCTCTTCCCGCGGCGGTGCCGGCGGCCCCCGTGGTGGCCGTGGCGGTCCCCGTGGCGGTGCCCGCGGTGGTGACCGTGGTGACCGTGGCGGTCGCGGACGCGGCGATGGTGCCCGCGGTGCCCCCCGTGGTGGTGCCCCCCGTGGCGGCCGTCCCCAGGGCGCGCAGATCAACACTAAGGACGAGTCTGCGTTCCCCAGCCTCGGCGGCAAATAAATGCCCACCATAGGTCGCCTATATTCGCCCACATATAGGTTGAGACAAATGTGCTCCGACACATATATCCGGCTCTAGTCAACGATGGAGAACGGAAGGGAAGGACCAGTTTTCGGGGAAAATTTGCAGAAAGGATTGGTTGCGTCAAGGTTTCCGAGGACTGGGCCGGCTGATTTCTGGTCGTTGCACGATAAATGAAAGGCTTTTTTCTATCTAGGTACTCATGGACGGTATCGTTCAAAAAAGTCAAAAATGGTCTCGTTTGCATTGGTTTTTTAAAGAGAGTAAAAATGTCCCATCTACTATCGTGTCTTACCTGATGGCTGGGTTTTGAAATGTCGCAATCGTGCATTGTGTTTGTGACAGTGAAGTAAATGGAATGGCGTACTGTTGTTCGAGGAAGCTTGCGCCTGCCTGTCCGTCACTTTTCGTCTGGTGATATCTGACATGATTACCAGTCTGCCTGTTTCTGGTCGTAGATGGTTACCATGTTGGGCAGCTTCATCCACGGACTATCATCCCGGTATCTTCTACTCGATACTGACGGTTCAGCATAGGACTTCGCTCAAAGGAAGCCTAGCTACCTAGCTCTTGATACATTACTTGACAATCCGTGAGGCAACTCGTCTTTACTGATAGTCACCTTTTGGGAGGAGCTAGGACTCGGCATATCAACTTGTGAACAGAAGAGCTCGCTTGTCTTTGTACCAGAGACTGGTTGATAGATGCTGGTATCAGCAACGGCAGCGGCAGTGCTTGTTTTGCTGTCATGTGCACCCACTTCAGGAGATCATGTTATGAGTTGTAGGCGGATCATGGGGAAAGTGTTTGCTATCATTCAACAGCGCGGGAAAGCTTGAAGAGAGCCAACTGGATAAAGGAGTTGGTGGTCTACGATATTGGGTCCTGTGAGGTTTCTTGTGTTTATAGCGAGTTAGGCTGTTGAGATATCGACGACGTTTGAGCTGTTTCTGGAACTAGCTCGGAGAGGGCCCTGAGCGCTTACCTCGTGTTCAACTATCAGATGAGGCTGGAGGTGATGTAGATTGATGTACTTTTTCAAATCGCTTGCGTGAAGTGGCGGAAAGTAGTCTCCCCAGACCATTGGGATTGTCGGACACCATCGTGAAGCTCTTTGATATCTTGTAGATGTAAAATCTGGGATTCACATCCAGCGCTAAGAGTAGCTAGCAATCGTGGAACTATCCCCCAAACTAAGAAACAAGCCAGCATCAGCCCGTACATATAGCCCTCCACCTTCTCACTGCTTTGCGGTTGTGTGTTCTAGAGTGAATACGCTGCGACCTGGGGAAAAGACAACCCAGAGCGACAAGCTACTATTCGTTACCTAGTGGTGCGGGAAATGAAGTCACAAAAATAACAACTCATGACTTGACAAAAAGATAACCCAGAGCGAAACACTATCGTTCATTAGTGGTGCGGGAATGGAAGCCAAGCTCTCGCACGAGGAAGTGCCCGTGAATATCGAGGCCCTCGGGAATCACGCTATACACCAAAGAAGTAAAGCCGCACCCTGCATTTGTTCGTTGAAGACGACCAACTCGGAAAATTGGATTCTTTGGGGTTTGGACCCATGCTGGACTTACACTTATGCGTCCTGAACATACACTGTGCTGGATATGGATATCTGAGGTTCTTAATACTGGCAGCCACGGGCAGGCTTGATGGTAGAGACTTTGGTTGAGTAAGGAATCGCTGTCGTCGTGCGGTGTTGCCTCCACCGGCGAGGGGGAACGCTGGTACTCCTGGCAATTGTGGCAAACCCGTTCCTGAACTTGCACTGAAACCCTGGGCTGAGGGAAGAGTTTTCCTGTATTCGCCGGGGCGCGAAGCAAAGCATAAAGAGATGAGTAGAAAAGGCCATAAGTTCTGTAGGTAGCCTGTGCTTATGGTCTCAAGTGCCATGCAGTCTCCCCGAGAAAGCGTGGGTATTCAATATGTAGTTGAAGCACCGTTTGGCGCCACCTACAGCTAGGCTTATGAGTATCAAGTACCGTAGGAAACGGCGACATCATGCATAACTCGTTACATCGTTTAAACCCCGTGAGGCATCCGCGTGACTTTGAAAATACCTTACCTCTGGTCTTGGAAATACGGCAGATTTTCCTCGGGCGATTCCTAGGCTCGATCACGTTCTCAAGGTTTGTACATTGGCCAAAAGACTCAAGAGGCTACTGGAGGTGTTGATTTCGGGACTTCATGACGCAAATTATTGATGTGCTCCTCGTGATCCAATGTCGACCCATAAGATCGGTAGCAACGACACGCATTGGCTGAAAAGCAAATCTGAGCTACTATTTCCTTGAAGGTTGGAGAAGAGATACGCAATACTGCGGTGTATCTGAACCAGCCATTCTTCAAACTTCCATCATCTTTGTTTTGTATTCCTCAAATATAGAGTATGAGAGAAAAGAAGATGCTACCAAGTACGCGATCTACAACTTGACGTGGCGAAGACCTTGTAACAGAATAGAGCTCCAAGACAAGCTGATTAATGGTACCGATACGATAAAGAGACGTGCCATTCAACACACAATCCCGAGAAAGAACATCGAGATCTAAAACCACAGTCCCTCGTCAAAGTCATGGAGAACCCACAAAGCATCATCTATTTCCTCAGACAAAGGACTTGACCTACCAACGTTCCTGTTCAACACAGAGGGGTGTGTAATACCATGACTGTGTTACCGAACGTTGAAGAATGCATTTGTCCTCAACGTCCTTGATGGGCTTGTTGTTGAAGACAATTCCTGGCCCATGCGAGCATTGATGAATATATAGAAATACGTGAGAACCCCCAACCTAGATACTGTAAAAACAACTGGACTTGTCTATCATCCTCAACATATACTGGGCTCACTGACCTCTGACGGATACACTCACTTACACAGGCTCCCCTGATACCACGGTATCAAACCCCTTCGAAATGAACGCGCCTCCTTACATCCATAACTGCGACGATTCCAAAGGTCCCTGGACCGTCAGCAAGCGATGCTCACTCTGCATCCCAGCCCGCCATGACGCAGGCAAAAAGCCCGGCAAGTCCGCCGCCATCACCCACCGCCTCCGCCGCGCCACTAACAAGCTCAAACGCCGCACGCTACCCCCGTCACATTCCGTCTGCTCCGAGTGCGGCGACGAGGGCCGCACGACAGTGATACTCACCGAGCCAGACTGGAACCTAGAGCCAGAGCCAGAGTCAGAATCATCGTTGTCAGGTTCTGCTGCTACTACTACCAGCCAACGACCAATTGACAGCATAGGTCCCATGAACGAAACCCCAGCCGACTTCGTGTACAGGCCGCTGATTCCGGGAGATCACGAGTACCGCCACGAGAAACCAGCCGGAGTGGACGAGTGGTTCTGGAGCAGCGGCTCCGGGGAGAGCTACAACACCCGGTTTCCTTCCCCCTCGCTCGCAAAGAGACTGATCTACAGTTTCTGTTGCTTCTGCGTCGTCAGCATGGTGGCGCCAAAGCCCCCGAAGCTGACGGAATCAGAGCGTCGTAAGAAGGAAGAGGAGGGTTGGAACAGACTCCAGCGGGGCAAACGCCGTTCTCGCCCGTGGATCCGGATGAGCGATTGGAAGGCTATCAAGGCCGCCGAATTGGAGGAACGGCAGCGTGCAAAAGATGAAGCCGGCGAAGCCGCTGGTCTCGGAACTATCGTAGAGGGGACAGTGACTGGGGACGAATGCGAATTAGTCAGATCAGGAGTCTTTGATTCGGACAGGCGTACTGCGGAGCGGAACATCAGGATTCATACAAACGGAAGGTAACATTGGCAATCTGCACGAAATCAGGATTAGATACACAGCTGGGCTCATGGGAGACACCAGCATAGCAAAGGTATGTTTCTTAGATAAATAGACAGTTCACAGAAACGATGATGATACATCAAGGTAATAATACGTGGATTTCGTAAGTCATACCATCACTGCTTGTCCCTGTAAAAACGAGCAGCATCAATGCCCAGACTGGTAAAGAAGAGGATGGCATTGAAGGAAGCCATCATGTAAAACGGGGCGCCATTGGACACCGCGTCGAATAAGTAGCCTCCTAGCTTGGTGAGAAGCAAAATAGCTGCTCCTCCGAACCAGGAGTACATGCCGGCGATGGAGCCCTTGAGTCGCACTCGCGACACGGCATCCACGCTAGCGTTGTGTTGTAATAGAGGCGCAGACTCTGGGGAAGTCTCCATGGTTTCTGCTGAGTCTTCGACCGTGTCGATGACCTGAGACTTGGGGATATCTGCAGTCAGAACGCCACGGCCAAGGAAGCCGAGACTGCAGACAATGGCACCGATCTGGCTGATGCCGATTAGGATCACGGTTAGGAAAATGGCAGGGCTGCCGCCTCGGCCGTCGACGTTCTTGTATTCCGGACTCTGCAACTGTGGCAGAATAATGTAGCCAACGATACCGAAGGCAGTGGCAAGGAGAATGGGGTAGTTGACACGACCGCGTCTTCTGTTGAAATATCCGAACGCAGGCGCAGCAAAGAGACCAAACAGCTGAGCTACGCCAGTCAGGATTGACGAAAGCAGATAGGCGGCCCGACACTCCTTCTTCAGCTCTGGCGAGGGGTCATGCGGGGAGCCCTGGCAGAAACCATTGCTGATATAGTAGGTGTTGATGTAAAGGGGGATGAAGAGCGAAATGGCAACAGTGGATGCGCGAGCCACAAAGCCGCCCAGGTATCCCAGAGCGATCTGAGAATCCGTGAAACCGAGAGTTACGGAGTCGCGCAGGAGGCGGAGGTATGGAAGCACCTTCTGTAAAACGTCAGCAATTTCTCCAGAAACATTTAGGAGGTAACGTACCGGACGGGTTGGGTGGTCTGGCCTGTTGTCGTCAGACTCGTCTTCCGAGTCCGAGTTCGTCTTCAGACCCAATAGAGTACTCCAGCCCTTGCCTTCCTCGCCCTTAAGGTTTCTCAACCCAAAGAAAACAAAGACCGAGATCACAAACGCCACAATTCCCACCACATAGAAGCTGTCGGCGACAGCCGTAGCAGGTGTGATGCCGTCAATCTCACCAAATCGGGCGGGGAGCGGGAGGAACAGGGAAAGCGCGACCAGCGCGCCGCATCCTGTGAATAGCCCAACGTAGCCCGCCAATGACGAAGGCCTTCCAGCCTTTGCCTCCTCTCTCTCACTCGCTGTCGCAGTTTGTCCGTCTCCGCCGAAACCATGGAAGCGCGCCGGGGTGATAGTCATGTCGGATTCGAGGGACATGGCCACACTGTTGCGAGGATTATGCGTCGGTTTGTTCGCAGCGTCAGCGGAACTGTCTGAATTGTCGCCATCGTCCGTCAATGAAGGCAGAATGGCCGTTACCATGGTGGCGCTGAGGGAAGCATATTAGCACATGTTGCCTGCTCTCGCTTTCTGTTTGTCACTTACGACGCTGTGGCGCCAATGGCAAAGAAGATGCGCGCCAGGAGTAGCTGCGGGTAGACATTCTTCGCCTGAACGAAAAGAAGCAATGCTGCGCCGATGACGGCATACCCGATGACAGCCACCCATCTCACACCGAGCCGATCCGAGACGAGACCCCAGACCGGACATGCGACGAGGGCAACGAGCTCGTCTACGAAGCCGAGAGTGCCGACAATGTCGCCAACGCCATCCTTGACGCCAATTAGGTCGGTAATAACGAAGGATATGCTGCTGTTGAGGAAGACGAGGAAGGAAATAGAAAAGAGAGATATTCCGAGAAGGTATGTCACTGCTTGCAGCGTAGTAGTTGCCTCGGAGAAGGGCAGATATCGGGAGAGAACCGCCATGATGGAAGAGTCGAGCGCCGTGGTATTTGGTTGGGCGATTGAGTTGATTCTCGTTATTTGCCGCAGACCACCGTTCAGCTCCAAGCTTACATCTCGCGGCGGGCGGAGGAGATGCTAGGAACGTCGGGCGGTTGAGTTTGTTGTTGTTGATCACAAGGGAGAAACGTGAATTAAGGTAAGAAGTGGGTGGGTAGCTGCGCACCTGCTGGTAGTGAGTGCCGGTGCGGGACGTCGGGTGAGCATCATACACCTGAATTGACCTGAGCTCCCTGTTCTAAACTCCGGTCGAGCCGCCTTACATAAGCCACTTAGTGACAGTCCAGAACGACGACCTTGCAATGACCGCCTCATTATGACCGGTACACACCCGTCCGGACACCCGCTACAGTGCGGACCCCGTGGCCGCCGACGTCGACAATTCCGGTCAGTAAAGTGCATGTTACGTTTAGGTTTACGAAGCTCCCTCAGCTCCAGAATTTGAGAGTGTTTGGCAATCGCCTCGGATTTACGGATACTTCGATACGTTTCTCACAATACCTCAAAAAGTTCAACTCCGGAAAGTAGTCTTTCGTTTTGACACCAAACGCCATTGGCTGCTAGACGTTCCTTACGACTTTTGCCTCCATAAATGCCAGTTCCCGAGTGCCATTGTTCATTCCCCGACTCCGTTGCTTTCTCGTGATCGCATCCTCCGTTGAGATATTCTGCCGTTGTCCTTCCAATTTACCATGACCAGAGCACCTTGTGGTGCAGCACGCGAGCCCCCAGTCGTTCGAATTCGAACGGCGTGACCCAAGAGTCGTTGGCCGGGAGTTTGGCGAAAACGCTAGCTCCTTTCCAGGTCACAACCTGCTCGTCCATATCCCTGGCACTTCGACTAACCAAAATGCGATCGAAGAGATCAGGTCGCCGTGCCTTGAGCTTCTCCTCTAGCACAACTGTGAATTGGGGCGTCTTCGAACCACCTCCAATGACCATGATACTGCCCAGGTAATCACGCAGCTTCTTGTCGTCACCCTTGGCTGCGTTGTAAATGCTGGTCAGAATAGCAAGATCCAACGGTGCAGTGGGCAGAACGCCGTCGCGTTCAACTGCTATGGCCTTGGCGCTGCGCGCAGAGGCGTCAACGAACATGCCCGGGGGCGGTTGTGGAACAGCTGTGCCGTTCGGGCCCGGCGTACCGCCATTCCTCACAGGGGGAGCGGGGCTTCCTCCGTTAACGCCCTCCTTGCTTCCGCCGAACACGAAAGGAGCTGGCACAGGCGTGCTGACACCCTCCGGCGCTGGCGATGGAGCATTGGACCCAGATGGAGTGCCGTTGATGCCGTTCTCGCCCCGCTTCAAGAAGTCAAACGGCTGTAGTCTTTCCTTAACCGGCGTCGATACATCGTTCTGCGATTGGGTAAAGCCATTAGTAGGCGCAGAGTTTAATGATGGCTTGACGAGAGCCAAGATTCCAAACTGGGCTGCTGATGTCGGATCGTCGGGGATATCCACGTCGTATGCATTGTATGATCGGTCAAGCAACTTCCTCCGGCCTCTTATCTTGGTGCTATTGTCGAAGATGGCCGGATCATAGAAGCCCATGGGAGCCAGAATGACCTCGTCATACGTCTTGAATTGGTACTTGTGGGTCGGTTGGTTTGGAGCTCGCAGATGGAACTGATATAACTGGACAGAGATGTCCGCTTGCGCCATCGTGCAGTGCTTCATCTTGAGCTCCTCAGCCAGGAGAAAGTCATGTCGCCTCCTAAGATTGATGTCTTGATAGGGGAAGTTGTCGTAGAGGAGCATCTTGACAAAAGTCTCCGTCACATCGTAACCGCCGTACTTCAAGTTGATGCGAGAGTCTTCAACGCAAAGGCCATCTTCAACGCAGGTGATCGATGTCTTTTGCGCTCCCACATCAACGACGCAGGCCTGAGTGTAGCCTGCACCGAACGTAGCAGCCATGCCTTCCTGAATGAAACATACCCGGTTGAACTCGAACCATGTCATGCAAGATCGAAGCACCTGCTCCACGTACTTCTTGTCGTAGAGATCTGGGATGACGAAGACGCAGCTGTACTGTCTCCAGGTGCTGTTCTTGGTCAGGCCAAGCTCCTGCCTGATTGCCTTGTCGAGGAGGGTTTCTAGATCGTCAAACATGTGTTCAGCGTTCAGGTACTCATCCTCGTTCATGTGTCCATGCTGAATGGGCCACCAGAGCTTGAATTTAGGTTGAGAATCGTCTGGCACTCTTTGCGCTTGATGCCCGATGAAACAAGACGCGGATGATTTGGGGTCGTCGAGATTGTTGACATCGGTCCAGTCGATTTGTAAAGGGTCGTTGTGTGTTTGAATAATTTCGGGCTCAGTCCGGCGGTTATAGTTCAAGACAAGTTCCTTGGAGTTGGGTAGAACTTTGCGCTTGTTTGCGCGCATCTCCAACTTGAGATCGCTGCACATTTTGGTGTACTTCTTTGACCACTCCTCGCCGTATTGTTGGTCTTGTGTCTTTGCTTCGAATTGGCGCCGGGGGAGCGCTTCGTGCATTTCCGCCTCGGTCTGAGGGAACTTTGTCGCAAGTGTCATGGGGATGGACTTTGGAAGTGCGTCGCTGGCGAACCCAATTCGGAGGTTTTGACTGCCAGGGTGAATGACGATAACTTTGGAAGGATCGAGGCCGGCATTGGCATCGGCAGGTGCTTCGTCAGGCTGAAGTTCGGGTATAACGAGAGGGACCTCGGCGCGCCCACTTTGCGCAAGAGCACGATCTCTGTCCTTAGCAGCTTGAACGATCCTGTCGCGGGTGGCGTCGCCTTGAAGTCGCAAAGCGAGAATCTGATCATCGCGCTTCATATAATCCCTGTTGGACGAGGAATTGTCAGCATCGCCGCAATGGCGATAACGCAAGGTAGTTTGTTTTCGAAAACATACGTGTAGTAGTTCTTCTGATTGATCGGTGTGACGTCTGGCCAGCTGGTCTGCTTCATTCCATTGTCGGTTCTCTCCAGGCCTATGGTACACTGTCAGCTTGCCGCTCTAAGGGGTGAAGGACTCCATTTCCACTTACCCTCCCGAAGGAGAACCCTCTCGCTGACTTTGCCTACCATGCTGTCGGCTTACTGCTCGGAATTGGAGCCAGAGAGCGAGCTGGCGTTGGTGTTATGGGTTTCCGAGCGGAAAGGCAGTGAGAATCGCCAGCCTCAAGGTTCGGATAGCTCTCAGCCTCCTACATGCAGCCAACCATCGCGACTGGCAGCCTGCTGGCCCGTGCAGAAAGGTGTGGCTGGTGTCATTATCTCTAGTGGAGGAACTTGGAGGTCCGTGGCTCAGCACGTAGGGGCGGAAGTATAATAATCCGAGCCCATTCTATTATGTAATAATCTCGATATCGCCAGGTCCTGCCTTCTCCGCGCAGTGTATGCTCAAAGGAACACCGTCGCCACGTCGCATGTCACGTCTCGACTCTACCCTACGACATAAACACTTTCTTGGCGCGGCACAAAGTGTGTCTGGTGGAAGCTGCTCTGTTGACCACATTGGCACGATGTCCACCAGGCGATCCTTGTGGGGTCGTTGCATTGAGCGCACAGTTGGGCACAGTTAAGGTCAAGTCAGGTCCTCAACGATACGATTCCGTTCTCTCGTCCAAAGAAGCTTAGATTCGCGACTCAGGGCGGTCCAAGCACCACGCGGTGGCAGACCATTTTGCGGCTCCAGAAGCAGCAAACCATTGGTCATGAGCTGGGTTGCTCGGACTCGGCCTTGGATGTTTGGTTGCTTGATGCTTTGCAGCTCAACTGTTGCTTGTTTTGCATGAGCGATCACTGAGTGGATGAACTTGACACGACTTCCGCCGAATCAAGATTTCAAACAACACAATTCGATACCAGCATCTCCTGGAAGCCTTGGCGAGAGCCATTCAACTTACCATTGAAGGTTTTCGCGTTGCAACTGCATTCCATTGCCAGGATGTGAATTTTGGTAAGCGATGCTGCGTCAGGTTCTGCGACTTTCAGCAGTTTCCTCTATCGACTTTAGTGTATGGCGCCTAGTGGGCTATTGTTCACTTTCCTCTTTGTTTACATGGGTACGATGATGACTTTGTCTCCTCTCAAAGCGACGCGCCCTTCCTCTTTCCAAGGCAGCAATGAGTTCAAGGTACCTTAAGCCGTTGGTACCTGACGTGCTCACCTTCCAGGTCCAGGCATTTGACTACCAAAGTGGTAGGCACCTCACCTTGAGTCACCTGACATCGCCCCGACCATCAAGCAATGACGTCGTCACGTAAGGTTTCGCCTGCCAGATGGGAAACCACACATTGTGCCACGTTTGCTTCATGACTCCGAGCCGACTTCAGACACATCTCACTGAGAACGCTCGCGATCTCGCCCATCTCAACTAAAACCCTCCAACAGCCTAGACATTTCATTGTTCACAGGCGCCCAAACCCCACGACTTAGTCCCCCCTCTCATACCTAGCCCAACAGCATCATCATCAACCATGCCTGCCATTCCCATCTTCAAGGACACTCCGATCAACGCCTCCAAGGCATCGGGAGCCACTCCGCAAACCGAGGAACCACAAGCCAAGGACCATTCCAATAACGTCGCCGAATTATCGCAAAGTCAAGTCGGCGCACCCGCACCATCATCCACCGGCCAGCAGCCATACCCGCCGGCACAGCCTGGTGCCGCCCCGTCTCTCCCTGTCCAGACAGCTTCCGCACAAGCATATCCTGCTCCGCGCCCAACTCCCACTCAGAAGACGAATGATGTCAGTCCACCGCCGCCCCAACCAGGTGCTGCCCCCGTACCGGTAGCGGGTACGTCGACTCTGCCTCCTCCGCCGAAGGCAGGCCAGACCTACCAGCCTCCAGCCCCAATACCCGCCACTACGGCCACCGTTTCTTACCCTCCACAAATGGGTATCCCTCCTCCAACCATGTCACACGCGGCGTTGCGAGGATCTTCCACGTCTACTACTAATGGACCTCAGATGACTGGGCCGCGACCTGTCCCACTAGGAGGCGATCCTCCACTCAGCCTTGAACACCCTCCAGGATATCAGCAAGACGTTAGTGCGTCTGAATTCAGTAGCCATCAAAGAGCTGCTCACCAAGCTGCGGTAGCATCATCGGCAGAGAAAGGCTATCAAAGTCAGCCAGAAGAAGGAGTATGGGACACTGCGAAGAAATGGGCACAAGCTGCTGGTGGCAGTTTGGCTGCGGCCGAGCAAGAAGTCTGGCGAAGAATCAACAAAGACTAGCACAGTCAGTCATGAGTTTTCCGTGTCACCGTATCAATCAACTTCACACTATCAAATACCAAGCCCATCACTTTGAGCTCTAGCTTTGAATAGACACCTTTGTGAATATAATGAGGATCGATTCGAAGCCTTGCCATCGGCGTTCTGCGCCATCTTGGCCGGGTACAGCTGGCGACATGTTGTCAGTTTCCAACCGTAGGCATCAGGCGCCTAGCTCTTTAGGCCCCTCACCCTTACTCACCTATTTCCCAGGTTGATCCATCCTAACACCTCGCACCAGTCGACTAACTAGCGCAGGGTTTTTTCGGCTTCGCGATTCCATCATTGTCTCCCTGATCACTTCTCGCGGTCCTGCCATAGTTGCAATTACTTTCTTTTGGAGTAATCGAGACTTGCCCGGGTCACAATGTGGCAGCAGCGCGCCCAAGACCGAAGGCCAACACGGTCTATGTCACTTCCAACCTTCTATTTCCGTCGTTGCCATTGTTGGTGCTAAACTTACACTAACGTTGGCCGGAACTCCTACCTTGTCCAGCCCGTCATTTCCTAGCCGTCCCGTCAGAGAGCTGGAATCATTCTGGCTATGGTAAACATCAAACACATCGATAAGCCTGATAAAACGCCGACTAACATAGCGTACTGGAAAGAGTTCATCGCTACCCTGTTCGCCGCCCCTTTTCCCCTTGCGGCTGCAGATGTGATCTTGTCAGCCTCCCCCAATGATCCGCCTGATGTCTGGTACCCAGTATCGAGTCCAGTCGACAAGCTACCGATGGCGGGGTAAAGTCGCGTCATCATTGGTCTATGATCTCCATAAGAGCCGAGCTATAGACAGCGGTCACGGCTGGAGAGTTGGCGTAATTTCCCAAAACGTCCGAGGTTGTTATGCAAGCAAGACAGCCACTCCTTGTCGGCGGCCAGCCCGGAGGATCCACAGAACAACTCATCGAAGGCTCGGTAGAAGCTGACGGCGGATACTGGGGGCTCTTGGAGGCCACCGGCGCGAGACGTTGCATCTTCGCACAGACAAAATTATCAAAGACGGCCTCGTATGTGGTTGCTCTCAGATTCGCACGTCTGATCTAACGGGAGCGTCGTTTGTCCAGATGCTGCTCTACGGCGTACGACGGTCGAGATGGATACCCGCGACCGTTGCCCGACTGAGGAAGACAACGCTAAGTTTCACTAACGCTGTACAACACACAGAGCCCTACGACAGAGTTTTTGACGGACAAGCGATGTGCGTCGTTAGCGCCACGTCAATATTTACGGCGGGCAGACTGTCGCCAACGGATTCGCTCAACAAGCTTTAACAGCACACGGCCTTCTTCCTAGCGACGAATGATGGATGGCGGGTGCCACTTTACGCGTGTACAAGCTGTGCCGGATGGCGGTCCCCGGGCGTCAAGTCGCGCCCGCAATCTGGATAGCGATGGCGGGAGCTGGCGACCGTCTTAGGCGAGGGTATTATGGGTTCTATCAAGGACATCCATGGTTTTAGGAGCTATAGCGGGTGACCATTATATGGATGAACGACTCTCCACCAACAACACGAATAGAGCAGCAAAGGCCAGAGGCATTAACGTGACGCGTGTTATTGCCGCCAAGTCGCCGTAAGTTGCTGAATGATTGGTCTTTTCTTCACTGATTCTTGGTCACAGGAGCAAGAAGTTCCTTTTCCCGTTTACACTGGTGTTCAGCCGGCTTTCAGCCTGACCCATGGCTGTCAAACCTGAGTCTTTTTTGGCCATGATCCACATCAGCTCATCGTGGTAGTATAGGTGCTTAGAGGGGCAACTTTGTGCGCACACTAGAGCAGACGATGGAGCGAATCACAGGCTGCGGGCGGCGAGGTGGGCGCGGCTCGCAAACAGGCGCGTCAATGAATGACAACCCGGGTTGAATGTGAAGGGAAAGAGGAGGAACAACCAGTCCCGTAGTCAGACGTGTTGGATCGCCAGCCCCGGTGAACCCTCTTGGCGCAACAGCCAAACCAAAGTTGTCTCTACGGAATACAGCAGGCAAACACGTCAAAGGGGAAAACCAGATTTAGGTTGCGACACCCAGAAGGATTGGTTGAGTAAGCGGACAAGTCACGACAGGCAGAAGAGAAAGTCACGTCGAAGCAAGTCGACTAGAGCCGAGCTCACACTGGGTTTCGTCCTGAAATGACCAGTTCTGGACAAGTCTCACGTCTCATACAAGAGCCCAAACGCCATCATCTGTGCGGCGTATTTGAATTCAAGGCCATCTTGATTTGATTTCCGTCAAAGCTAAAGTATTGGCAGAGTCTCAAAGAAGACAGTTTTCAAGAAACAACAGTAGATGGGGATGAACCTCACGGACAGCGCCGCACATGTCTGATTTGGGACCAAGCAGGGCTTGTCACAGCTGATTGACGGCCTTCACAAATGAAGTATAGGTGCAAACGAAAGCGAACGGGGTTAGAGTGAAGCCGGAGAGCAGCTGACAGTTGCTGCTGCTGTAGGCATGGCGTGGCAGACGCAGGGCCAGCTGGCCATGTATGGAAGCAAATGGGACGAGGCGGGCATCCAGATGCTAGGCAGATCGATCTTAGACGGGGTGACAGGCGACGGATCACTAAAGTTCAAGGCAACTACGGATCTTTGTGGGAGGAACAGTTATCTGGTGATGCGGAAGACATTGCTGCACGAAGATGCATAGCATCATTCTCGAGCACCTCCAAACTGGCATCCCTCTCATCAGGACACTGCACGGGACGAGACGGCATATCGTCGTTTGTTTGTGTTCCTCACGGCAACACGATCGACTGCCTTTGGCAGCTGGCAAGATTGTCGAGAGAAGGCCTGGCAGGCCATCGACATACGAAAGGCGCGGAGAAAGCAAAGGATGCGAGAGGCAGGCCGTTCCGGCGGGGATGAGGGCAACAGTGACAGACTCGGAAAGAGAGGGACTGCGGTCAACGGTCAACCCAGTCGAGGGGCTGAAGCGAGACAAGGGTGTGTCGTTCTGCGACAGATCTGAGACAGCTTCTGCCCCTGCTCAACCCCTGGCACAGCCCCCGCGTCCCCGGTGGACTTGCAGTAGCCTGGACCCAATCCAGCGAGTCACGACCACGAGTCAGCGGCGATGGGTGGGATTCCGACACGCTGTACAAGATAGTAGTGTTCCACTATCAGAAGCCGAACAACTTTTCCGTATGGCGTACCATGGTTCTCTTTCTACTGCGATGTGTCACTGTCAACGACTGGACATGGCCAATGATCCGCGGAATGGAGAGGACGCTACGCTACGGTACGCTATAGGATGAGAACGAGGCGAGAGTCGGACGAGATCAAAGACACGGCAACAACTGGCCAAAAGTCTGAAGATGAAAAAGCGGCCTAGAAGGCCCAGTGGGAGCATATCGGAGGACAAGACGGGATCGAGACCGGAGAACGTTGAGAGTGTTCGGCACCGAATAGGACGCAAAGTTTGGCCCGTCGATTTCAGAGATGGATCGCATGAGAGAATGATGAACTTCCATCATGATAATCCGCATCATCCATCCGTTCGTAACTTTCAGACTCAAGAAAGTATGGATGGTTGGAGCAATAGGCACGTATGAGCTATGGACGAACAACTTCAGTGCGGGCAGAATACCTCACGAATATTCGCAGGTAAACGTGCCAACACTGCAGTCTGCAAGGCACGCCGCACCGTACGCTACAGCACAACACCACACACACACACACACAATCATCCACACACTGGTGCATCCATCATCGAGTCTGACGAGGCACGAGGCACGCGGCACGCCGCACGCCGCACAAGAAGCAGAGAGGCAGAGAGAGGGGACGAGCCCAATGGGTACGTACTGCCGTCAGGAACGGAACAACGGGACAGGAAGAAACCAAGGCCAAGACCAACCAACCCACACACCCGCAGGCTGCAGCAGTGCAGCACCCCTCCCACACCCCCCCTCGACCGCCCCCTGCAGATGCTTACCTCAGCGACAAATCATATTGCGCCGCCGGGCAGCTCAAAGTCAACTTCAAACGTGCTTGCTCCGTGCCACCACCAGCAACGGCAGCAACAGCACCACCACCCTCGCCCTCACCATCATTACCACCACCCTCACCATCACCACCACGATGTCTGCCGACCAACAATGTCAACGATGTTGACGACGTCCCAGCTCCATCATGGCGCACTCATATACCCTCCTTAATTGTTGATTACGGGCACGCCTACCTATGATCTCGTTCCCCCCTTTTCAAAATGCGTCTTTGGTCTGGTAATATCCGCGTGGTCTGGTCTCTCTCTCCCTCTCTGTCTCTTATGAATCCTAGGCACAAGAAGGTTTCTGTGCGGCAACGTGTCGTCCTTTTCGGAGACGCGATGCCTGTCGCGTGGACACTCTCTCTGTTCGGCTCGTGCTCACAATCACTGCTGCTGCTCAGCAACTGCCATTGACTCCTCTCACTCGACCATGTCCAAAACATTTGAACCCACTCGCTATCCTAGGCAGACAGCCAAAAGATTCCATTTCTTCGATGGACCGCCTCAGGATACCAACAAATGGACTGGCCTGGAAACTGCAACTGGACCTGGAACTGGAGCTGCGACTGGAACTTCTTCGTCTGACCCCCTCATCCACATGGTCCCGAGGCTCCCTCCTCTCGGCAACCCTCCGCTCCTGAATCCCCTGCAGCCCTTCCGGAACGCAGCCAGACAGATATCTGGATAGACAGACAGACGAAATATGGAGAGACGAACAAACCGTCATCCACTCGCCGCAACCTTTCGCGCATTTTCTCCGATCTCCAGCCGTGTGTGCTCTGCATGCTGCAGCTAGTCAAGCTAGCTTAGCTCAAGCTCAGCTAGCTAAATCAAGCTGCGACTGAAGGCAATCTCTCCTTCTCCGCAGCCGCCGCGGCCTCCGTCGCCGAGCCATCAGCCTATCTGTAAACTGACATTTATCTATGTACGCATCGACCCAGGAGCACATACCTGCATCTGTGCTGCTTTATGCCTGCCGCTCCTGTTCTCGCCATTGGCACAACGGCCGAACAAGAAAAGTGAAGCCCGAGAGCGGATCTGCTGGAAAGGATAGGATGCCAGGTTCATCATGTGGGGAACCAGGGATTTGACAAAACAGGAACAGGTGTCATCCCTGTACCGCACTCGCTGCCAAAACAAGAGCCCGACGTCAGGATTCTCTTGCTTCTCCTGCCAAACACTCTCGTTCATGATCTTCCTACCCGAGCTTGATTGGCCCCAGGTACTCATGGGTAAAATCTCAGGTTTCCACACCAGTCACTCTGCAGTCTCTGCCCGAGGCCCCTCCCCATGGCCCCCATGCCCCATTGGCCTGGGACGGGATGAGGGACTGGGCCTTGTACCGCGGCGGATTTACCTTGCAGACGTGCCGTACTCGGCCTACTGACACTCCAGACCAAGTCGTATCGTATCATTCCGATACTGGACTGAGGTTCGTCCGTGAACCCTGCCTTTTCCTTGGTTTCCGCTGCGAAAGGTTGGAACGCAACGCAAAACTCGTCCGCTAAAAGAGACGAGAGAAGAAGGGTAGAGTTACGGACAGGGGGTGGACAAGAGAGTACCTTACTGTCCAGTGTCACCTGTGGTCACTGGAAACTCCCAAGGAGGGAAACCAACAACGATGACTGAGGTGAGGTGAGGCCCGCTCCAGATCAGGCCCAGTCCAGGTGGTTTCGGCTCCGCTCCCACTTCTCAGTAATCATACATTCAGCAAGTTCAACGTACCGGCCGCCGGCTGCAAGCCACTAGCAGTAGCCGTGATCCATTCCGCTGCCTCACTTTCTTCCTCCCCGATGCTCCCCTTCTAGGCTCTGCCCTCTGCCCCTCAGCCCCTGGGGCCATGTCGCCACATGTGGGTGTATGGGATGAGACAAGCCACCTCCTCGGGAACTATTTCCTTCGGATCGCTAGGGTCCTCGCCAATTCTCAGCCCTGAATAACTGACGGCCCTAGTCGGAGACCACCGAGAGTGCCCTTCTAGCTCATACGTCAAGTGCGGTTATCGTCGATACAGGGCGATCTAGTGGATGGCCTTTGGTCCAAGTTTGGTCCTGTATTTCGTCACGACGAATTTCTCTGCTACAAATCCACAGCTGCACCGCCGCCGTGGGCTGCACAATATGGCGAGGGGACGGGGAGGTGAGGGGGGGCTAAAAGGTCTAGAAGGGGGAGGGGGTCTTGACAAGGTCTTGCAGGTGTATCCGTATGGAAGGGAATGGGTGGATGGGTGGATGGGTGGATGGAGAACCAGGCCAGGCTCGAGAGTAAGTGAGAAAGGAAGTATTCCATGGCCCATGGTTTGGTGCAAATGAACCTCCTCCATACGTTATGGCAATTGTCATTCCTACCGTCTACCCTCTTCCTTTCCGTCCCATCACTACTCTCTTCCTGACTGGCTAGTCTTGCCATGTTCATGGGCTATTCCTTACACTTTTTACTCCCACTCTCCATATCTCTCTTTTTCTCTCTCTGTCTGGGTTTCTCTCGGCCTTTCTGTCTGTCCTTTTTTTTTTTTTTTTTTGTCCTCCACCCCCCTCCGACTCTCAGTCCCTCGGACTCTCCACACCACCATCAGCCCTCCTCCCCTCTGCTTCCTTCATCATACTCTCTATCCGGACCTCTCTCTGCCTCTTCCTCAACTATATTTCCCATCACGCTCTCATCGCGGACCCGAGTTCGTGCCATATACATAGTTTATGAGCATACATCCATCATCTGGGTACAGCCCTGTCGGCGTGTTTGATCCTTGTCCCCGTCTTCCAAAAGCAGTCGGGAGTAGGCCGCTCCCTGGTTCATCGGCATCTTACTCCCACACATCCACATCGACGAACAGATGTTACCTTGTCCACCACCATAAGAACCCCCCTGCAACTCTTGCCCTCTCGCTGAGCCAGGCCAAGCAGATTCTCGCACACCTGCCTCTGGCCCCAAGTTCACAGACAGGAAGAGGTTTGTATCAGGGAAATCCGGCTTAGCTCCAACCGACGTTCCGAACCTGACCGTGCTGACTTATTGGTCCGTTCATGGATGATGCTTCTTTTTCTACACTACTTCTTTTATACCTCCAGGATCCGTCTGCACCGCCCCTCGACCTGTCTTCTTCTTTGCTCTCCTTTCGCGTCCCACTTACCAAGGCCTCACTGCCCTTGATTCTCTGCTAGTCACTCCTTTTTTCAAGCCTTGTAACCTATAATACTTTTTTTCCTTTTTCGAGGGGGCTGCCTCTTCGCATCTATAATACCTACTCTCCGGGAGCTGGCTCTCTTCATCCCGCCAGGAACCAGGACGGCCAGCTGCGCGCTCCAACACTCACGCACACACACACACACCTTCAGCCATCAAAGCACCAAACGAGGTTGCCGATTATTGCAAACTCATCACGCTCCTTTACTGCCTTTGAGGATCGTACGCATACATACATACAATATAAATACAGAGTACCCAACACAAAGACTCTTATTACAAAAGATCCTCAATCGCGCTGTCTAGCTGAGGACGGGAATCCCTACCGCCTCCATCTATACACCACCCACTAGCCTCATCGCGAGGACCCGCTGTCCTTAACGCTCATCATCGTCCTCCCATCCCCGAGGGAAAGAGATCGGAAAGGGACCAAGAGAAAGCAGAAAGAGAAAGGAGCCAAGAAGGGAAAGGAAAAATCTACGCGTCCCCTGGCCCCAGCAAACATAACCACTCACGTCGCCGTCCATTACTCGTCCAGTCCGGAGATTATTTGTCTCTCTCCGCTCAGGTTGGCCACTGCGCCAGATTCTTCCAAGTAAGTTCCTGGAAGCCCTTCTCTGTCGGCCTGCCGGATCGCGCTCGTCGATACGTGGGCAGTGTGGATCCCCCTCACCCCCCGACTGCCGTCAGATACAACTGCCACCCTTGATGTCCCTCGTCCGAGGATCAATGCTAACAACCCACCGTCCCCGTTCAGCATCAACCCGATAATTGATTAACCGCACGCTCCCTTGTTCCTGTCTAAGCACCATGGACTCTGGTCAGGCACAGCTGTAGGCCCCATCCCGTCCCTGCAGCTTCCGGCATACATGACTTACAAGTACATTTTAGTCGGCAACAAATACACACACCTTCCTTCACCTTCAACCCTAACAACAAGTTCAGAAGAGACGTCCCGCATCGTACATCGACCATCATCAACATGAACGGTAATGATATGCCCATCAAACAAGAGGGCGTGGGAGCACCCGCCGGTGTATGGACAACCCCAACGTCTCAAGGCATGAGGCCCAGACCTGCGACCATCCACGAAGGCTTCTCTTACAGCATGGGCGATGACTACGGCGCCCTCCCATCGTGGGATTCTTCGCCACTGCCGATGCAGCAGACTCCGAGCGATGCCATGTCCCGCCCGGTATCAGTCCATCAACAAGACTTCTATCCCGTCACCACCATGGAGAACAGTGAGTCAACCTCATCCGAGGTTAACCCTTTTGCTAATCATTTCCATCAGACTGGCAACAAAAGCCATGCGAAGACACTTTTGAGTTCCATGGATTGGACACGGAAATGATTGGCCAGGCATACACCACCGATGAAGCCATTCCTGTGCTTGATCTGAGGTACCAGCAACAGGACAACGAACCGTTCAACTTTGACTGCGGCCCCAACCCGCGACGCATGTCTGGCTCATCTTTCACCATGTCCACGTCCGGTGCCCTTTCAGACATGCCTTCGTACGAAGACTTCTCAGCTGCACTGTCAGAGGCGCCATCATTCAGTTCAGACTACCCACCGCCGTCTAACCGCAATTCATTGATGTCGTCGACTCAATTGTCGCCGGTTGCGTCTCCTCGGATGACTCCCCAGAGCCGATCTGAACTTGTCAGGACTCAAAGCCGCGGTCGTGCTTCCCCTTCGCCTCGCCCAGGCATGCGATCTGCTCCCTACAGCGTTGAGCGTGGAACGACAAAGAGGTGGTCGACGGGATCGTACGGAACTCAGCAGAACAGACGTCAGACACCGTTCGTGTTTCATCAGGGGCACGATGCATTTGGTGCCCACCAGCGCATGTCTTCGAGACACTCATCGCCGACGATCCAGCACCAGCAGGTCCCATTGAACTTCACCAATCTTCAAGCCGCCCAGCAGCATCCCTTCATGATGGCCGCCCCGCCGCAGTATCAGAGAAACAGCATGAACAGTATGCTCTTGCCGTCGCAATTGCCCTCCAA